TTGATTCCATCGCCGACTTGAATGTAGTCGGCGTTTCCCCCACTGAATCAACGATGTAGGCTGCTTCAAAATCCATTGCAGCCGCTGACACATGCTCAAGCGACGGACCTCTGTATGTTCTTCGCTTGGGACTTGGAATGACGGTAGCTTTCTCAAGTGATTGAGTGCGCGTGTGTCTCTTGATGTTGCTCTTCGAAGACCTGGTGTCTTCGTTGTCATCGTCGCTCGAGTCCATGTCGTCGTCAGTTTTACCTTCTTCTTTTTCTTCGTCCTCATCATGATCATCAAACTCAACGACACTTGACTCATCGTTGTAGTTGCGCGGACCTTCATCAAACTTGTCTTCCATGAATGTGGCATCGCGACTGATCTTGATCGCTCCTGTTGACACTTCCTCAAATCGATATGACTTCTGGTGTTCGGCGTATCCCAGGAAACGACAGAGTGATGACTTGGAGTCGAACTTCGCGCGTTTGTCTTGAGGCACTTGAACATACGCGTGGCATCCAAACACTTTAAGGTTGGCCAGAATCGGTTTCTTCATCGTCCACACTTGATATGGAGACTTGTCTTGGTGAATGGCACGTGTTGGACAGCGGTTTCGAAGAAACATCGCCGTCATCACTGCTTCACCCCAGTAGCTCTTTCCCAGTCCAGCGTGTTCCATCATGCAACGCGCACACTCGACCAGCGTGCGATTCATTCTCTCAGCCACTCCGTTTAGCTGAGGAGTATATGGGGGTGTGAACCTTTGTTGTATTCCCCGTTCCGCGCAGAATCGTGCCAGCTTGTCGGACTTGTATTCACCCCCATTGTCGCTTTGAAGGTACTTCACGCGCTTCCCGGTTTGCGTTTCGGCCATCGCAGCGTATTCCATGAACTTCGCCGCAACTTCAGATTTGCTCTTGAGCAGATAGACGACACAGTATCTTGACTTGTCATCAATGAATGTCACGAAGTACCGTTTTCCACTGAAAGTTGCCATCGACATCGGTCCGCATACGTCGCTGTGAATCACTTCGAGGAGTTTGGAGGTGCGAGCTGTAGTGTTTGATTGGAAGCGCACTCGAGTCTGTTTTCCCAGAGCACAACCTTCACACACGTCCCACTTCTTCACCGAAGATATGTCGATGCCAATTCCAATGTTCTTCGTCACGATGCAATTGAGTCCATCGTGACCTATGTGGCCAAGCCGAAGGTGCCAGAGGTACGACTTGGTGCCCCCTTGGCATCCCGACGACTTGGCTGCATTTGCTTGTTCCGGCGCCACTGGAGTCATTTGCAGCTTGAACAGTCCTTTACCTTCACGGGCACCAATTTTCCACTTGGTCCCTTTCGCTTTTCCATAGCACCCATCCTTCGTGAACGTCACTGGGTCGACATCCTTGGTGAAGCGGCCGACCGAGAACAGGTTTCTGGATAACTTTGGGATGTGCCACACGTTTGTGAGCACACCTTTCTTCATCCCTTGGGGTGTCTTCATCGACATGACAATGTCCCCACTGCCGATTGCTTGGACGATTCCATCATCCGCGAGATGGACATCCACAGCGTCAAACCCCTTGTAGTTCCGCATGAACTTCTTGGAGCACGTCATGTGCTGCGTCGCCCCGGAGTCGACCAGCCAGATGTCGCTCGATTTCGCAGATGTCGTTTCACCGATCGAAAAGAGGTAGTCGCCCGAGTCTTCTTCTTGAGCGACGTTTGCACGTTGTGATCGATAGCGGTCGCCGCTGTCTTGAGCACGCTGTGGCCGGTGTCTCTCCGTGTTTTCTTGGATGCGCGAGGGGCACTCCGCCATCCAGTGACCAATCTTTCCGCAATTGTGGCACGGCCAGGACTTCTTCACTGGTCGCCCTTTGCGCTGATTGTCCCTTGTGATGAACGCTTGACCTTGCGAAGCTTCATCACCTTTACTTCCTTGCTCCTTCCGCTTCATTTCTTCATGAAGCAGTCGAGACGTCACGAGCTCCCAGCTAAGAGTGTCTGAGCGCGACTCCAAAGCTGTGATCAAGAATTGATACGAGTCACTCAGGCTGCCGAGGAGTGTGATCACCAGATCGTCCTCGCAGACTGGAGCCCCCACCGCTTCTAGCTGTTCCGCCAGCGTCTTGAGCTTGTTGATGTGTTCGAGCACATCGTCGCCTTCTTCCATCATTGTCGTGAAGAAGCGACGGCGCAAGAACAGCTTGTTGGCAAGACTCTTCTTCTCGAAGTGGTCTTCCAACCTTGACCATGCGTCGCATGCACCACTTGCCGACCGGACCAACGGTAGCTGGGAATCTTCCATGGCTAGACAGATCACTGCCATCGCCTTTCTTGACTTCCTCTTGTACGTCGCTTGGTCCAACTGAGTCTCGCACTGTTCCGCCTTGATCTCACCGCTGACGACCTCCCATAGGTCCCGTTCCTCCAGCACCATCTGCATCTTGAACTTCCAGGCGTGGAAGTTAGTTCCATCGAACTTGGAGATGCGGAGGGAGGAGGCGTCCACGGCAGCTAAGCTTGAATTGTTGGCGGTTTCAGAGTCTGACGAACTTGGGCTCATAACCTGATGAACTTTAGACTTCTTGGTCCGAGTGCAAAACGCAAAGTGAATATATATTTATAATAGGTACTTAGTTCGCAACTTTGAATACTACCTCTAAGCCTATTATTCGCAGTGACGTCATCCAGTGACGTCATTTCCTGACTTCGCCCTTACTGGTACATACCGGTACCCACCGGTATAGCGAAGCTTGGTCTTCCACTTGCTTCAACACTTGACGCAGCTTGACGAGGTGTCTTCTTCACAGCCGCTGTCTTTTCAACAAGATTAACAGCCATGGCAAGTTTCAAGTCGTGTTTGACGGGTCCAAGATGTATGTGACTCTCAAGAACTCACAGCAAGTGGTGGCGACAGCGGATCTCGTGGATGGACTCTACTGGCTTCGGACGACTCAACGATCAGCGAATGTGACAACAAGTGGAACCAGTTGTGCCGATCTACATGCGAGAATGGGTCATGCTCCAGTCGATGTACTTCGCAAGATGATCGCGACCAACATGATCAAGGATGTGCGAGTCCCTCTCAAGTCGGGTGGAGCAACTACGTGTCGAGGATGTCAACAAGGGAAAATGGTCCAAAAACCATTTCCAAGCAACCGAGACAAGCGCAGCTACGATACGTTTGAGCTACTTCATCTGGACATCTGCGGGCCCATGGAAAAGGATTCGCTCGGTGGCAGCAAATATTTGCTGCTGATCATCGACGAAGCCAGTGGAGTATGAAGGGCTTTTGTCTACGAGTGAAGTCCGAGAGTGAAGACTACATCCGGAAATATATCACCATGGTACAGACACAATTCTGTAAGAAGGTCAAGTTCGTGCGACACGACGGAGCTCGCGAGTTTGCAACCAACTCGCTTCAACTGTTCTACGAAGACGAAGGCATTGAACAGCAGACAACGGTGCCGTATGCACATCAAACAAACGGAACAGCAGAGCGTGCCATTAGGACTATTGTCACGATCGGCCGCAGCATGCTTCATCATGCCAAACTGGACAAGTGTTTCTGGGCCGAAGCAGCGATGACGGCCATCTACGTCAAGAATCGACTGCCGTCACCTAAAGTCGTGCACAAGACCCCGTTTGAGATCGTCTACAACTTGAAACCAAGCGTCAAGCACATGCGAACATTCGGGTGTCAGACATACATACTGACGCCTAAAGAGAATCGACTCAAGTGGGATCCAAAGGCTCGCGCTGGCATATTCGTGGTCTACGAAGAAGTTTCGAAGGCATATCGTGTTTATGACATCGAGGCGGGGCAGGTGGTTATCAGCCGCGATGTCAACTTCGACGAGTCCACCTTTGGACTTCAACTGCCGATCACTGATGAAGATGTCGATGACCTGGACTTCGAATTGCTGGATCTTGATGACGAAGAGCTGCGTCAAATGGAGTACAAGCAAACAGGCAAGCGCAAGAACCGACTCAATGATGAAGATACAGCAGCTCCACGACCGCGTGCAGTGCGTCAACGACCAGGACTAGAAGAGTCAAGCGCGCCGGAAAACAACTCGTCACGCCAAGAAGAAGACGAAGAAACGAAGGATTCTGGTGATTCAACACCGCCTGTGTTTTGGCGTGCGAGTGCAAATGCCGTTGAAGCAGCAGTGGACTTATCAGAATCCTCAACATTTGAAGCAGCAGTTAGCGGCCCTGACCAAGTGCACTGGAGAAAAGCAATTTATGCAGAGCTCGAGTCAATGCGACTTCGCGGTGTGTTTCGTGCAGCCAAGCTGCCCAACGGACAACGCGCCATTGGCACAAAATGGGTGTTCAAGATCAAGCGCAAGGCGGATGGGTCAATCGAGAAGTACAAGGCACGACTTGTGGCCAAGGGTTTCCGCCAAAAGTATGGCATCGACTACACGGAGACGTTTTCGCCTGTGGTCAAGTATGTGACGCTGCGAATGGTGATCGCAATTTCCAAGCATTTTGGATGGCCCATCGACCAGCTTGATGTGGTGACAGCTTTCCTGTATGGCGTCATGAAGGAACAAGTGTTCTGCGTGATTCCTGAAGGCGTCGAACTTGACAGTACGTTCGACTGTCTCGAATTGGTGAAGGCAATTTACGGCCTGAAGCAAGCTTTGCGAGTATGGAACGAGACTTTGACGAGACTTTTGACGAGTGTGTGTTCCATTGGATTTCAAGTGTCAGGCTTCGACCCATGTCTCTACATCAAGACTTCGGACGGCCATTGCGTGTTTATACTGGTCTATGTGGATGACGTGTTGGTGACAGGAAGCTCACCCAAGTTGATTGCACACACCAAGGAAGACCTGAAGACACGCTTCGAAATGACTGATAGCGGCAAGTGTGCATTTGTTCTTGGGATCGAGCTTTTGGACGGTGAAGATGGCAGTGTGACACTATGTCAGCGTCGGTATGTCGATGATATCCTCAAGCGCTTTGGCATGGATGATTGAAAGGCAGTCGCAAGTCCAGTCGACATGAGCTCTCGACTTGTTTCAAGTGATGCAACTACCAAGGTCGATGCTCCTTTTCGCGAAGCTGTTGGTGCGTTGATGCACCTGACCACTGCAACGCGTCCGGACATTGCGTTTGCTGTGGGCTATGTGTCGCGGTTCATGGAAAATCCCCAAGAAGAACACTGGGTTGCAGTTAAGCGTATCTTTCGCTACCTACAAGGCACCAAGACGCATGGAATTTGCTACAAGCCAAGTGCAAGGATCGACTTCCGTGGATATTCGGATGCGGATTGGGCTGGTGATCTTACCGACCGCAAGTCAACATCGGGGTACACGTTCATGCTACTCGGTGCGCCAGTCAGTTGGGGCAGCAAGAAGCAGCCAAGTGTTTCGTTGTCCACGAGTGAAGCCGAATACATCGCACTCAGCTTGGCGATTCAAGAGGGCAAGTGGATTCATCGTCTGCTTTGTGAGATCGTGATGGCTGCCAATGAAGAAGGACCGGAACTCATGATCCATGAAGACAATCAGTCGTGTATCAAGATGACGAAGAACCCATTCAACCACGGCCGTGCCAAGCACATTGATATCAAGTACCATCACATCCGTGATGAGGTCAAGCGCGGTGAAGTGAAGCTCAAGTACTGTGAAACTGCGGTGATGTTAGCGGACATCATGACGAAGGGACTTCACGGGCCACGCCACAAGGAGATGACGGCGACTCTCGGGATTCGTGAGCATTCGGATTGAGGGGGCGTGTTGACGGTCATCGGTTTTCTACCAGTATTGGTAACCGTGACCGATCCAATCCGTACCGCCTGTTCAGCTTAGTATTTACGACGTAGTTCTTACGGTAATTACCATAGTTGATTAGACGCGTAGGATGATGAGACGCTTCACATGATTTATATGTACACCACATATAAATCATGTAGTAAGTAGTAAGCCCCGATAATCAATCACTTTCGAATCTTCCAACTATTGGGCAAGTGTTTTCTGCTCTACTCTCTTCGGTCTCTCCGCTCCGTTTGCTCCGCTTTCCTCGCTCCGATCTACAATGCAACATGGAACGAGACGTTCGACGAGTATGTGTGCTCCATCGGATTTCAAGTATCGGACTTCGACCCATGTCTCTACATCAAGACATCGGACGGCCATTGCGTGTTTATACTGGTCTACGTGGACGACGTCTTGGTGACTGGAAGCTCGCTCGAGCTGATTGCACAAACCAAGAACGACCTGAAGACGCGGTTCGAGATGACGGACAGCGGCAAGTGTGCGTTTGTTCTTGAGATCGAGCTTTTGGACGGTGAAGATGGCAGTGTGACACTATGTCAGCGTCGGTATGTCGATGATATCCTCAAGCGCTTTGGCATGGATGATTGAAAGGCAGTCGCAAGTCCAGTCGACATGAGCTCTCGACTTATTTCAAGTGATGCAACTACCAAGGTCGCTGCTCCTTTTCGCGAAGCTGTTGGTGCGTTGATGCACCTGACCACTGCAACGCGTCCGGACATTGCGTTTGCTGTGGGCTATGTGTCGCGGTTCATGGAAAATCCCCAAGAAGAACACTGGGTTGCAGTTAAGCGTATCTTTCGCTACCTACAAGGCACCAAGACGCATGGAATTTGCTACAAGCCAAGTGCAAGGATCGACTTCCGTGGATATTCGGATGCGGATTGGGCTGGTGATCTTACCGACCGCAAGTCAACATCGGGGTACACGTTCATGCTACTCGGTGCGCCAGTGAGTTGGGGCAGCAAGAAGCAGCCAAGTGTTTCGTTGTCCACGAGTGAAGCTGAATACATCGCACTCAGCTTGGCGATTCAAGAGGGCAAGTGGATTCATCGTCTGCTTTGTGAGATCGTGATGGCTGCCAATGAAGAAGGACCGGAACTCATGATCCATGAAGACAATCAGTCGTGTATCAAGATGACGAAGAACCCATTCAACCACGGCCGTGCCAAGCACATTGATATCAAGTACCATCACATCCGTGATGAGGTCAAGCGCGGTGAAGTGAAGCTCAAGTACTGTGAAACTGCGGTGATGTTAGCGGACATCATGACGAAGGGACTTCACGGGCCACGCCACAAGGAGATGACGGCGACTCTCGGGATTCGTGAGCATTCGGATTGAGGGGGCGTGTTGACGGTCATCGGTTTTCTACCAGTATTGGTAACCGTGACCGATCCAATCCGTACCGCCTGTTCAGCTTAGTATTTACGACGTAGTTCTTACGGTAATTACCATAGTTGATTAGACGCGTAGGATGATGAGACGCTTCACATGATTTATATGTACACCACATATAAATCATGTAGTAAGTAGTAAGCCCCGATAATCAATCACTTTCGAATCTTCCAACTATTGGGCAAGTGTTTTCTGCTCTACTCTCTTCGGTCTCTCCGCTCCGTTTGCTCCGCTTTCCTCGCTCCGATCTACAATGCAACATGGAACGAGACGTTCGACGAGTATGTGTGCTCCATCGGATTTCAAGTATCGGACTTCGACCCATGTCTCTACATCAAGACATCGGACGGCCATTGCGTGTTTATACTGGTCTACGTGGACGACGTCTTGGTGACTGGAAGCTCGCTCGAGCTGATTGCACAAACCAAGAACGACCTGAAGACGCGGTTCGAGATGACGGACAGCGGCAAGTGTGCGTTTGTTCTTGAGATCGAGCTTTTGGACGGTGAAGATGGCAGTGTGACACTATGTCAGCGTCGGTATGTCGATGATATCCTCAAGCGCTTTGGCATGGATGATTGAAAGGCAGTCGCAAGTCCAGTGGACATGAGCTCTCGACTTATTTCAAGCAATGCAGCTACCAAGGTCGCTGCTCCTTTTCGCGAAGCTGTTGGTGCGTTGATGCACCTGACCACTGCAACGCGTCCGGACATTGCGTTTGCTGTGGGCTATGTGTCGCGGTTCATGGAAAATCCCCAAGAAGAACACTGGGTTGCAGTTAAGCGTATCTTTCGCTACCTACAAGGCACCAAGACGCATGGAATTTGCTACAAGCCAAGTGCAAGGATCGACTTCCGTGGATATTCGGATGCGGATTGGGCTGGTGATCTTACCGACCGCAAGTCAACATCGGGGTACACGTTCATGCTACTCGGTGCGCCAGTGAGTTGGGGCAGCAAGAAGCAGCCAAGTGTTTCGTTGTCCACGAGTGAAGCTGAATACATCGCACTCAGCTTGGCGATTCAAGAGGGCAAGTGGATTCATCGTCTGCTTTGTGAGATCGTGATGGCTGCCAATGAAGAAGGACCGGAACTCATGATCCATGAAGACAATCAGTCGTGTATCAAGATGACAAAGAACCCGGTCAACCACGGCCGTGCCAAGCACATTGATATCAAGTACCATCACATCCGTGATGAGGTCAAGCGCGGTGAAGTGAAGCTCAAGTACTGTGAAACTGCGGTGATTTTAGCGGACATCATGACGAAGGAACTTCACGGGCCACGCCACAAGGAGACGACGGCGGCTCTCGGGATTTGTGCGTGTTCGCATTGAGGGGGTGTGTTGACGGTCATCGGTTTCCTACTGGTATTGGTAACTGTGACCGGTCCAATCCCAACCACCTGTTCTGTTGACGGTCATCGGTTTTCTACCAGTATTGGTAACCGTGACCGATCCAATCCGAACCGCCTGTTCAGCTTAGTATTTACGACGTAGTTCTTACGGTAATTACCATAGTTGATTAGATGCGTAGGATGATGAGACGCTTCACATGATTTATATGTGCACCACATATAAATCATGTAGTAAGTAGTAAGCCCCGATAATCAATCACTTTCGAATCTTCCAACTATTGGGCAAGTGTTTTCTGCTCTACTCTCTTCGGTCTCTCCGCTCCGTTTGCTCCGCTTTCCTCGCTCCGATCTACAATGCAACAGGTTATGAGCCCAAGCGCCATGTCGTCCACCAGCAACGCCTCCATTGACAAGTTCAACGGAGACAATTACGCAACGTGGAGCCGGTACATGCGCGATGTGTTTTTGACGAAGTCCGTCTGGCACGTTGTCAACCGTGAAGTGACTCCGACTTTCACCGACCCGCGAGCGTCCGATGACTACGTCAAGGCAAGCAACGTCGCGTTTGGTATGATGCTGCTGCACATGAACGCGGACTACCATCATGTGCTGGACAACTGCGAGGAAGCCTGGGTTGCGTGGACAAGTCTGAAGACGCTGTACGGTGGGTCGCAGAAGGCAGGACGCATCTACCTCAAGCGACAACTTTTCAGTATCAAGATGGCTGAAGGCGCGAACGTCATGCATCACTGCAACGAGGTCCTCAACATCTCCGCCAAGCTTAGCGGCATCGGTGCGAAGATGGAAGACGAAGACGTTGCAATTTGTCTGCTACTCAGTCTTCCGAAGAGCTACGAAAATGTGGTGCTCAACATGGAAATGAGCAGCACCGAGCTTCGCACTCAAGATGTGGTGAAAGTACTGACAAATGAGCACGCCAAGCGTCAAGGGGAAAAGGTGACGACAACAGCGACTACGGTGAAGGCTGAAGATGCAACCAAGGCATTCAGCACCGAGCGTGAGCCTTACCAAAGCACGTATTGTGGCAAGGTAGGACACACAGTGGATCGCTGCTGGACGAAGCAGAAGAATGAAGGTCGAAGAGCCCGACGCGGCGGCAATGGCCGTGGACGCGGGGGCTAACAATGTCCAGTGGGGACATCATGATGAAGGCAATGGCTACGATCGAGTGGCGTTTGCAGTCTCGTTCGAATGTGGAGTTTCGACGAGCAAGGACGTGTCTGGAATGTGGGCCGTCGACAGTGGTGCAACGCACCACATTTGCCACGACAAGACCAAGTTCGCAAGTTTGGCAGAGCGCAATGAGGGCGAACTCTTGGTGGCTGATGGCAACAAGGTGGCCATCAAGGGTGTGGGAACCATCATGGAAAAGGTGGTTCTGCCCAACGGTGAAGAGCGTGAGATCGAAATCAAGAACGCGCTATATGTTCCAAGTATGAGCAAGAACCTGCTCTCGGTGCCACAGATTAACAGCCATGGCAAGTTTCAAGTCGTGTTTGACGGGTCCAAGATGTATGTGACTCTCAAGAACTCACAGCAAGTGGTGGCGACAGCGTGTTGAAAAGACAGCGGCTGTGAAGAAGACACCTCGTCAAGCTGCGTCAAGTGTTGAAGCAAGTGGAAGACCAAGCTTCGCTATACCGGTGGGTACCGGTATGTACCAGTAAGGGCGAAGTCAGGAAATGACGTCACTGGATGACGTCATTGCATGACGTCAGTGGGTGACGTCAGTGGGTGACGTCACTGGATGACGTCACTGCGAATAATAGGCTTAGAGGTAGTATTCAAAGTTGCGAACTAAGTACCTATTATAAATATATATTCACTTTGCGTTTTGCACTCGGACCAAGAAGTCTAAAGTTCATCAGGTTATGAGCCCAAGTTCGTCAGACTCTGAAACCGCCAACAATTCAAGCTTAGCTGCCGTGGACGCCTCCTCCCTCCGCATCTCCAAGTTCGATGGAACTAACTTCCACGCCTGGAAGTTCAAGATGCAGATGGTGCTGGAGGAACGGGACCTATGGGAGGTCGTCAGCGGTGAGATCAAGGCGGAACAGTGCGAGACTCAGTTGGACCAAGCGACGTACAAGAGGAAGTCAAGAAAGGCGATGGCAGTGATCTGTCTAGCCATGGAAGATTCCCAGCTACCGTTGGTCCGGTCGGCAAGTGGTGCATGCGACGCATGGTCAAGGTTGGAAGACCACTTCGAGAAGAAGAGTCTTGCCAACAAGCTGTTCTTGCGCCGTCGCTTCTTCACGACAATGATGGAAGAAGGCGACGATGTGCTCGAACACATCAACAAGCTCAAGACGCTGGCGGAACAGCTAGAAGCGGTGGGGGCTCCAGTCTGCGAGGACGATCTGGTGATCACACTCCTCGGCAGCCTGAGTGACTCGTATCAATTCTTGATCACAGCTTTGGAGTCGCGCTCAGACACTCTTAGCTGGGAGCTCGTGACGTCTCGACTGCTTCATGAAGAAATGAAGCGGAAGGAGCAAGGAAGTAAAGGTGATGAAGCTTCGCAAGGTCAAGCGTTCATCACAAGGGACAATCAGCGCAAAGGGCGACCAGTGAAGAAGTCCTGGCCGTGCCACAATTGCGGAAAGATTGGTCACTGGATGGCGGAGTGCCCCTCGCGCATCCAAGAAAACACGGAGAGACACCGGCCACAGCGTGCTCAAGACAGCGGCGACCGCTATCGATCACAACGTGCAAACGTCGCTCAAGAAGAAGACTCGGGCGACTACCTCTTTTCGATCGGTGAAACGACATCTGCGAAATCGAGCGACATCTGGCTGGTCGACTCCGGGGCGACGCAGCACATGACGTGCTCCAAGAAGTTCATGCGGAACTACAAGGGGTTTGACGCTGTGGATGTCCATCTCGCGGATGATGGAATCGTCCAAGCAATCGGCAGTGGGGACATTGTCATGTCGATGAAAACACCCCAAGGGATGAAGAAAGGTGTGCTCACAAACGTGTGGCACATCCCAAAGTTATCCAGAAACCTGTTCTCGGTCGGCCGCTTCACCAAGGATGTCGGCCCAGTGACGTTCACGAAGGATGGGTGCTATGGAGAAGCGAAAGGGACCAAGTGGAAAATTGGTGCCCGTGAAGTTAAAGGACTGTTCAAGCTGCAAATGACTCCAGTGGCGCCGGAACAAGCAAATGCAGCCAAGTCGTCGGGATGTCAAGGGGGCACCAAGTCGTACCTCTGGCACCTTCGGCTTGGCCACATAGGTCACGATGGACTCAATTGCATCGTGACGAAGAACATTGGAATTGGCATCGACATATCTTCGGTGAAGAAGTGGGACGTGTGTGAAGGTTGTGCTCTGGGTGTTGCAATTTGATCGCGAGGCGAAGAGAAAACGAAGCGGAGAGACCGGAGAGAACGAAGCAGAGAACACTTGCTCACTTGAGGGAGGATTCGAAAGTGATTGATTTATAGGTCTTGACTTCTGCTTACCCTAGACTGCATCCAATCACATGTTGCATCTAATCAACCTGATTTACACGCGTCCAATCATCCTACGCGTCTAATCATCCCTGAGGTAATTACCGATGTAAAAACTATCTCGTAAGAACTACGCGCTAGGTTCGGATTGTACCGGTAACCCTCAATACGCCCCCTCAATCCGAACACGCACGGATGCCAAGCGCCGCCGTCAAGTCCTTGTGACGCGGTCCGTGAAGTCCCTTCGTCATGATGTCCGCCAACATCAACGTCGTCTCGCAGTATTCAAGCTTCACTTCGCCGCGCTTGACTTCATCACGGATGTGATGGTACTTGATGTCGATGTGTTTAGCGCGGCCGTGGTTGACCGGATTCTTCGTCATCTTGATGCACGACTGGTTGTCTTCACGGATGACGAGCTCGGGTCCTTCTTCGTTTGCAGCCGCCATGATCTCGCACAGCAAGCGATTGATCCACTTGCCTTCTTGGATCGCCAGGCTGAGCGCGATGTACTCCGCTTCGCTTGTAGACAGTGACACACTTGGCTGTTTCTTGCTGCCCCAACTCACCGGAGCACCCAATAGCATGAAGACGTAGCCGGACGTCGATTTGCGATCAGCAAGGTCACCGGCCCAGTCTGCATCTGAATAGCCACGAAAGTCGATCTTCGCACTTGGCTTGTAGCAGATTCCATGCATCTTGGTGCCTTGTAGGTAGCGGAAGATGCGCTTGACTGCAACCCAGTGTTCTTCTTGGGGTTTCTCCATGAACCGTGACACAAAGCTTACAGCATAGGCGATGTCCGGTCGCGTTGCAGTCGTCAGGTGCATCAAAGCACCCACTGCTTCACGGAATGGGACATCCACCTTGCTTGCAGAGTTGCTTGGAACCAGTCGAGAGCTGACGTCCACCGGACTTGCCACAGCCTTGCACTCATCCATTCCAAAGCGCTTGAGGACATCGTCGACATAACGGCGCTGACACATAGTCACGCTGCCATCTTCACCGTCCAATAACTCGATCCCAAGAACAAAGGCACACTTGCCGCTGTCCGTCATCTCGAAGCGTGTCTTGAGGTCGTTCTTGGTGCGCGCAATCATCTCGAGCGAGCTTCCAGTCACCAAGACATCGTCCACGTAGACCAGCACAAAAACACAATGGCCTTCCGAAGTCATGATGTAAATGATGAACTTTAGACTTCTTGGTCCGAGTGCAAAACGCAAAGTGAATATATATTTATAATAGGTACTTAGTTCGCAACTTTGAATACTACCTCTAAGCCTATTATTCGCAGTGACGTCATCCAGTGACGTCACCCACTGACGTCATGCAATGACGTCATCCAGTGACGTCATTTCCTGACTTCGCCCTTACTGGTACATACCGGTACCCACCGGTATAGCGAAGCTTGGTCTTCCACTTGCTTCAACACTTGACGCAGCTTGACGAGGTGTCTTCTTCACAGCCGCTGTCTTTTCAACACTCCCTCTCGACTCGTTAGCTGCGGCACCTTGGATCCCAAGTCGATCGCGAATGTTTTCAAATTGTACAGCGGCGATCGGCTTGGTCATCATGTCTGCCAGCATATCTTGAGTCGGGCAATACTCCAAAACGACTTCACCTGATTCCACCTTCTCACGCACAAAATGGTAGCGTATGTCGATGTGTTTTGTTCTCTTATGGAACTCCGGGTTCTTGGAGAGAGCGATTGATCCTTGGTTGTCTTCATACATCTTGATCGCTTCGCCGCTTGTCATCTCACCAAGTTCCCCCAAAAGCACTTTGAGCCATACTGCTTCTTTGGTTGCTTCGGAAAGCGCCATGTATTCTGCTTCTGTTGAAGATAGCGCGACCGTCCGTTGTTTCTGGCTTTTCCAGCTGATGCATCCTCCGCTCATCATGAACACATAGCCGCTTGTACTTCGTCTTGACTCAATGTCACCGGCCCAGTCTGCGTCGGTGTACCCGTAGATACGGCTTCCTTCTTCACGTGTAAACTCAAGACCATGATTGGGCGTTGCTTGCAGGTATCTCAGCACACGCTTCAAAGCTTGCCAGTGAGTCGGGCATGGGTCGGACGAGAACTGGGATAATGATCCCACTGCAGCAGCTAGATCCGGACGTGTGGCGACCATGAGATACATGATGCCTCCGACAGCACTTCGATATGGCACGTTGCACATGGTGTCTTCGTGCTTGCATTCTTGTTCACACATGTTCTTGGTTAGCTTCAGGCCGGGATCTTGAGGCGTCTTCACTGGCTTGCTGTTATCCATTCCGAACTTGGTTAACACGGACTTGAGAAACTTGGTTTGTTGCACAGTCACCATTCCCGTCTTACGGTCGTTCTTGATCTCCATGCCGAGAAAGTAATCGAGCTCACCGAGATCCGTCATTTCGAAGCGTTTGCTCAGCGCCATCTTGGTTGACTTGAGGAGTTCGTTGTTGCTGCTGGCCAGGATGAGATCATCGACGTAGAGCACCACGAGAATCATGTCTTGGTCGTCTCGCTTGATGTAGATGCAGTGGTCCGATTCGCACTTCTTGAATCCCATCTTGATCATGAACCCATCGATTGTTTGGTTCCACATGCGAGGCGATTGCTTCAAGCCGTAGAGTGATCTCTTTAGCTTGCACACATAGTCCGGCTGTGTTGCATCCAGGTATCCGTCCGGCTGGTCCATGTAGATGTCTTCGTTGAGGGAGCCGTTAAGAAACGCTGTCTTGACGTCCATCTGATGTAGCATTAGGCCGTACTTGGCCGCCATACTGAGCACCACACGAATCGATGTGAACTTGGCCACCGGTGCGAAAGTTTCTTCATAGTCAACTCCGAATTTCTGTGAGAATCCTTTGGCCACAAGTCTTGCCTTGAAACGTTCAACTTCGCCATCTTGATTCTCCTTTACACGAAAAACCCATCGGCACCCGATGGCCTTGCGACCTTTCGGAAGAGGCACGATTTCCCACGTGTCGTTTCTCTGAAGCGAATCGAACTCCGAGTCACACGCTTCTTTCCACTTGCCGGAGTCGCTTGATTCCATCGCCGACTTGAATGTAGTCGGCGTTTCCCCCACTGAATCAACGATGTAGGCTGCTTCAAAATCCATTGCAGCCGCTGACACATGCTCAAGCGACGGACATCTGTACGTTCTTCGCTTGGGACTTGGAATGACGGTAGCTTTCTCAAGTGATTGAGTGCGCGTGTGTCTCTTGATGTTGCTCTTCGAAGACCTGGTGTCTTCGTTGTCATCGTCGCTCGAGTCCATGTCGTCGTCAGTTTTACCTTCTTCTTTTTCTTCGTCCTCATCATGATCATCAAACTCAATGACACTTGACTCATCGTTGTAGTTGCGCGGACCTTCATCAAACTTGTCTTCCATGAATGTGGCATCGCGACTGATCTTGATCGCTCCTGTTGACACTTCCTCAAATCGATATGACTTCTGGTGTTCGGCGTATCCCAGGAAACGACAGAGTGATGACTTGGAGTCGAACTTCGCGCGTTTGTCTTGAGGCACTTGAACATACGCGTGGCATCCAAACACTTTAAGGTTGGCCAGAATCGGTTTCTTCATCGTCCACACTTGATATGGAGACTTGTCTTGGTGAATGGCACGTGTTGGACAGCGGTTTCGAAGAAACATCGCAGTCATCACTGCTTCACCCCAGTAGCTCTTTCCCAGTCCAGCGTGTTCCATCATGCAACGCGCACACTCGACCAGCGTGCGATTCATTCTCTCAGCTACTCCGTTTAGCTGAGGAGTATATGGGGGTGTGAACCTTTGTTGTATTCCCCGTTCCGCGCAGAATCGTGCCAGCTTGTCGGACTTGTATTCACCCCCATTGTCGCTTTGAAGGTACTTCACGCGCTTTCCGGGTTTGCGTTTCGGCCATCGCAGCGTATTCCATGAACTTCGCCGCAACTTCAGATTTGCTCTTGAGCAGATAGACGACACAGTATCTTGACTTGTCATCAATGAATGTCACGAAGTACCGTTTTCCACTGAAAGTTGCCATCGACATCGGTCCGCATACGTCGCTGTGAATCACTTCGAGGAGTTTGGAGGTGCGAGCTGTAGTGTTTGATTGGAAGCGCACTCGAGTCTGTTTTCCCAGAGCACAACCTTCACACACGTCCCACTTCTTCACCGAAGATATGTCGATGCCAATTCCAATGTTCTTCGTCACGATGCAATTGAGTCCATCGTGACCTATGTGGCCAAGCCGAAGGTGCCAGAGGTACGACTTGGTGCCCCCTTGACATCCCGACGACTTGGCTGCATTTGCTTGTTCCGGCGCCACTGGAGTCATTTGCAGCTTGAACAGTCCTTTACCTTCACGGGCACCAATTTTCCACTTGGTCCCTTTCGCTTCTCCATAGCACCCATCCTTCGTGAACGTCACTGGGCCGACATCCTTGGTGAAGCGGCCGACCGAGAACAGGTTTCTGGATAACTTTGGGATGTGCCACACGTTTGTGAGCACACCTTTCTTCATCCCTTGGGGTGTCTTCATCGACATGACAATGTCCCCACTGCCGATTGCTTGGACGATTCTATCATCCGCGAGATGGACATCCACAGCGTCAAACCCCTTGTAGTTCCGCATGAACTTCTTGGAGCACGTCATGTGCTGCGTCGCCCCGGAGTCGACCAGCCAGATGTCGCTCGATTTCGCAGATGTCGTTTCACCGATCGAAAAGAGGTAGTCGCCCGAGTCTTCTTCTTGAGCGACGTTTGCACGTTGTGATCGATAGCGGTCGCCGCTGTCTTGAGCACGCTGTGGCCGGTGTCTCTCCGTGTTTTCTTGGATGCGCGAGGGGCACTCCGCCATCCAGTGACCAATCTTTCCGCAATTGTGGCACGGCCAGGACTTCTTCACTGGTCGCCCTTTGCGCTGATTGTCCCTTGTGATGAACGCTTGACCTTGCGAAGCTTCATCACCTTTACTTTCCTTGCTCCTTCCGCTTCATTTCTTCATGAAGCAGTCGAGACGTCACGAGCTCCCAGCTAAGAGTGTCTGAGCGCGACTCCAAAGCTGTGATCAAGAATTGATACGAGTCACTCAGGCTGCCGAGGAGTGTGATCACCAGATCGTCCTCGCAGACTGGAGCCCCCACCGCTTCTAGCTGTTCCGCCAGCGTCTTGAGCTTGTTGATGTGTTCGGAGCACATCGTCGCCTTCTTCCATCATTGTCGTGAAGAAGCGACGGCGCAAGAACAGCTTGTTGGCAAGACTCTTCTTCTCGAAGTGGTCTTCCAACCTTGACCATGCGTCGCATGCACCACTTGCCGACCGGACCAACGGTAGCTGGGAATCTTCCATGGCTAGACAGATCACTGCCATCGCCTTTCTTGACTTCCTCTTGTACGTCGCTTGGTCCAACTGAGTCTCGCACTGTTCCGCCTTGATCTCACCGCTGACGACCTCCCATAGGTCCCGTTCCTCCAGCACCATCTGCATCTTGAACTTCCAGGCGTGGAAGTTAGTTCCATCGAACTTGGAGATGCGGAGGGAGGAGGCGTCCATGGCAGCTAAGCTTGAATTGTTGGCGGTTTCAGAGTCTGACGAACTTGGGCTCATAACCTGATGAACTTTAGACTTCTTGGTCCGAGTGCAAAACGCAAAGTGAATATATATTTATAATAGGTACTTAGTTCGCAACTTTGAATACTACCTCTAAGCCTATTATTCGCAGTGACGTCATCCAGTGACGTCACCCACTGACGTCATGCAATGACGTCATCCAGTGACGTCATTTCCTGACTTCGCCCTTACTGGTACATACCGGTACCCACCGGTATAGCGAAGCTTGGTCTTCCACTTGCTTCAACACTTGACGCAGCTTGACGAGGTGTCTTCTTCACAGCCGCTGTCTTTTCAACAGTAAAGACATGGATCGAATCCCGACGCTTGAAAACCAATCGAGCGTATGAACTCGTCGAAGGTCTCGTTCCAAACACGCGAGGCTTGCTTGAGACCGTAGATCGCCTTGATCAGCTCGAGACAGTCGAAATCACCTTCCATCTTGACGCCTTCCGGAACAGCGCAGAACACCTTCTCCTTCATCACTGTTAGATGGTGAAAAGCTTGACGACCGAAACTGGGAGTGATGCTGGGAGTCTACTCGGAAGACCGGAGAAGACACCTGGGGGGTAGATGGAAGATTGGAAAGTGATTGATTATCGGGGCTTACTACTTACTACATGATTTACATGTGGTGCACATATAAATCATGTGAAGCGTCTCATCATCCTACGCGTCTAATCAACTATGGTAATTACCGTAAGAACTACGTCGTAAATACTAAGCTGAACAGGCGGTTCGGATTGGACCGGTCACGGTTACCAATACTGGTAGAAACCGATGACCGTCAACACGCCCCCTCAATCCGAACTCGCACGAATGCCGAGAGCCGTCGTCAAGTCCTTGTGACGAGGTCCCGAAAGTCCCTTGGTCATGATGTCCGCCATCATCACGGAAGTCTCGCAATGCTCGAGCTGCACTTCCCCGCGCTTGACCTCATCACGGATGTGATGGTACTTGATGTCGATGTGCTTGGCGCGGCCATGATTCACCGGATTCTTCGTCATCTTGATGCACGACTGGTTGTCTTCACGGATGACGAGGTCCGGTCCTGGTTCGTTTGCGGCCGCCAAAATCTCGCATAGCAGGCGATGCACCCACTTGCCTTCCTGGATGGCCAGACTCAGTGCGATGTATTCCGCTTCACTCGTCGACAGCGACACACTTGACTGCTTCTTGCTTCCCCAACTCACAGGAGCACCCATCAGCATGAAAGTGTAACCCGAAGTCGACTTGCGATCAGCGTGGTCGCCGGCCCAGTCCGCGTCCGAGTAGCCACGAAAGTCGATCTTGTCGCTTGGCTGGAAGCGGAGTCCGTGCGACTTGGTCCCTTGCAAGTAACGAAAGATGCGCTTCACCGCCGTCCAATGTTCTTGCTGCGGATTCTCCATGAAGCGCGAGACGTACCCCACAGCATACGCAATGTCCGGGCGCGTCGCAGTCGTCAAGTGCATCAAAGCTCCCACAGCTTCACGAAACGGAACGTCGATCTTGGCCGCTTCGGTGCTTGCGACAAGCCGAGTGCTCAAGTCGACCGGACTTGCTGTGGCCTTGCACTCATCCATGCCGAAGCGCTTGAGGATGTCGTTGACATACCGTCGCTGGCACATCGTCACGCTGCCATCCGATTCGTCCACCAGTTCGATGCCCAGTACAAAAGTACACTTGCCACTGTCGGTCATCTCGAAACGCGTCTTGAGGTCGGCCTTCGTCTGCGCAATCAACTCGAGCGAGCTGCCGGTGACCAACACGTCATCCACGTAGACCAGCACGAGCACACAGTGACCGTCGACAACCTTGATGTAGAGACATGGGTCGAACGCCGACGCTTCGAAACCGATGGAGCATACGAACTCGTCGAAAGTCTCGTTCCCACACACGTGAAGCTTGCTTGAGACCGTAGATCGCCTTCACCAACTCGAGACAGTCGAAGTCGCCATCCATCTCGACGCCTTCTGGTATCACGCAGTACACCTTCTCCTTCATCACTCCGTAGAGAAAGGCTGTCACCACATCGAGTTGGTCCAGTGGCCAGTCGAAATACTTGGTGATCGCGATCACCATACGCAGTGTCACGTACTTGACCACGGGCGAGAACGTCTCTGTGTAGTCGATGCCGTACTTCTGCTTGAAGCCCTTGGCAACGAGACGCGCCTTGTATTTCTCGACCGATCCATCCGCTTTGCGCTTGATCTTGAACACCCACTTGGTGCCGATCGCGCCTTGGCCTCTTGGCAGTTTTGCCGCACGGAAAACTCCACGAAGATGCATCGACTTGAGTTCCGCCTTCACAGCATTTCGCCAGTGAGTTTGATCAGGACCATTGATCGCGTCTTGAAAAGTCACAGGTTCTGCTAGGTCCGTTGCTTCCACTGCGTTTGCACTTGCACGCCAAAATGTTGGAGGCGTCGAGTCGTCATCTTGATCGTACACGCTTGCATCTTCTTCGTCATCAGACATCGTTTCTGGAGCACTTGATCGTCGTTTCTGGTGACGGTTGGAGACGTGTTCCGGCGCACTTGCTTGTTCCAACCCAGTTCGAGGGCGAGCTGACCGTGACATGCCGGGTCTTGCTTCACTCTTGCGCTTGCCAGTCTGCTTGTAGACGGTTTGACGCACGTCGTCCTCGTTGATAACCTCGCCAGGAGGTCGAGGTCCAACTCCGCATCTTCATCATCGTCACTTGGTCGGTCCATCGAAAAGTCAAAAGTCGATTCGTCGAAGGTGATTTCACGACTGATCACCACTTGGCCCGCCTCAATGTCGTACACTCGATAAGCTTTTGACGCTTCTTCGTAGCCCATGAACATCCCTTCACAAGCCTTCGGGTCCCACTTCAATCGCTTCTCCCTTGGTGTCAGGATAAACGCCCGACATCCAAACACGCGCATGTGCTTGACACTTGGTTTCGACTTGTACACGATTTCGAACGGAGTCTTGTGGTCGATCTTGGGTGAAGGCAGGCGGTTCTTGATGTAGATCGCCGTCATTGCCGCTTCAGCCCAGAAACACTTCTCCAGCTTTGCATGATGCAACAAGCTGCGTCCGATCGTGACGATGGTCCTCATCGCGCGTTCTGCGGTGCCGTTGGTCTGGTGTGCATACGGCACCGTGATCTGTTGTTCAATACCATGATCTTCGTAGAAGGTCTTGATCGAGTTGGTCGCAAATTCATGCGCTCCATCGTGCCGAACAAACTTGATCTTCGTGCCGAACTGTGTTTGAATCTTGATGATGTGGTTCTTGATACAGTCTTCACTCTCAGACTTGGACCGCAGACAGAAGCCCTTCATGCAACCGCTAGCTTCGTCAACCACAAGCAGTAAGTATCTGCTGCCGCCGATCGAGACTTGTTCCATTGGCCCGCAGATGTCGAAGTGCAGCAACTCGAACACACCATATTGGCGTTTGTCACGGTTGGTTGGGAATGGTTTTTGAACCATCTTTCCTTGCTGGCAACCGCGACACACATTTGGACCAGTCGAGTTGAGAGGTGCCTTGGCGTCCTTGATCATGCCAGTGGCCACCATCTTGCGCAGAACTTCGAGGGGTGCATGACCCATGCGCGCATGCAAGTCGATGGTCCCATTGCGTGTTGCTGCATTTGCCGATCGTTGAGGAGTCCGCAGCCAGTAAAGTCCATCGACGAGATCCGCTGTTGCCACGACTTGTGTGGAATTCTTGCGCTTCACTTGCATCTTGGATCCATCGAACACGACTTGGAACCTGCCACCCTTGTTGATCTGTGGCACCGAAAGCAGATTCTTGCTCATACTTGGTACGAACAGTGCGTCCTTGATCTCGATGTCGAGTTCGTCACCATTGGGCAGAACCACCCGTTCCATGATGGTTCCCACACCCTTGATCGCAGCCTTGCTGCCATCAGCCACTGATAGTTCGCCTTCCTCTCGCTCATTCAGGCTTGCAAACTTGGCCTTGTCGTTGCAGATGTGATGCGTCGCACCGCTGTCGACTGCCCACATCCCTGGCATATTCTTGCCCGTCGAAAGTCCAGCCTCCAGCGAAACCGCGAACGCAACTCGATCGTAGTTGTCATCGTAGTTGCTGTTGGTTCGCCACTGAACGTTGTTGGCTCCGCGTCCACGAGCATTGTTGCCGCCGCGTCGAGCTCCACCTTGATTTTCGTCCTTCTGCTTGGTCCAGCACCGCTCCGCCGTGTGCCCCAATTTTCCGCAGTATGTACACTGGCGAGGTTCACGCTCGGCACTGAACGCCTTCGCCGCGTCTTCAGTCTTCACCGATGTCGTCTTGTCACCTTGTCTCTTGATGTGCTCATTCGTGAGCACTCTCACGACGTCTCGCGATCGCAGTTCCGCGCTGCTCATCTCCAAGTTGAGAACGAAGTTCTCGTAGCTCTTGGGGAGGCTGCGCAACAAGCAGATCGCCACGTCCTCGTCCTCCATCTTGGCGCCGATGCTGCTGAGCTTCGCGCTGATGTTGAGGACTTCGTTGCAATGATGCATCACATTGCCGCCTTCCGCCATCTCCATGCTGAACAGCTGGCGCTTCAAGTAGATGCGTCCAGCCTTCTGCGACCCGCCGTACAGCGTCTTCAAACGCGCCCACGCGACCCACGCCTCTTCACAGTCATCAACCACGTGATGATAATCCGCGCTCATGTGCAGCAGCATCAAGCCGAACGCAATGTTGTTCGTCTTGATGTAGTCGTCACTGGCGCGAGGATCGGCGAAGGTGGGGGTGGTCTCCCGGTTCACCACGTGCCACGCCGACTTGGTCAGGAACACGCCACGCATGTAGCGGCTCCACGTCGCGTAGTTGTCGCCGTCGAACTTGTCGATGGAGATCTTGGTGGTGGCATCATGAGCAGAGGACATCGTGCTTGGGCTCATAACCTGTTAGATGGTGAAAAGCTTGACGACCGAAACTGGGAGTGATGCTGGGAGTCTACTCGGAAGACCGGAGAAGACACTTGGGGGGTAGATGGAAGATTGGAAAGTGATTGATTATCGGGGCTTACTACTTACTACATGATTTACATGTGGTGCACATATAAATCATGTGAAGCGTCTCATCATCCTACGCGTCTAATCAACTATGGTAATTACCGTAAGAACTACGTCGTAAATACTAAGCTGAACAGGCGGTTCGGATTGGACCGGTCACGGTTACCAATACTGGTAGAAACCGATGACCGTCAACAATCACTCCATACAGGAACGCAGTCACCACATCGAGCTGGTCGAGGGGCCATCCAAAGTGCTTGGTAATGGCGATGACCATTCGCAGCGTCACATACTTGACCACGGGCGAGAACGTCTCCGTGTAGTCGATGCCATACTTTTGGCGAAAACCCTTGGCCACAAGTCGTGCCTTGTATTTCTCGATCGACCCTTCCGCCTTGCGCTTGATCTTGAAGACCCACTTTGTGCCAATGGCGCTTTGTCCGTTGGGTAACTTGGCCGCACGAAAGACACCGCGAAGCTTCATCGAATCGAGCTCCGCATGAATTGCCTTGCGCCAGTGTGATGAACTTTAGACTTCTTGGTCCGAGTGCAAAACGCAAAGTAAATATATATTTATAAAAGGTACTTAGTTCGCAACTTTGAATACTACCTCTAAGCCTATTATTCGCAGTGACGTCATCCAGTGACGTCACCCACTGACGTCACCCACTGACGTCATGCAATGACGTCATCCAGTGACGTCATTTCCTGACTTCGCCCTTACTGGTACATACCGGTACCCACCGGTATAGCGAAGCTTGGTCTTCCACTTGCTTCAACACTTGACGCAGCTTGACGAGGTGTCTTCTTCACAGCTGCTGTCTTTTCAACACTCCCTCTCGACTCGTTAGCTGCGGCACCTTGGATCCCAAGTCGATCGCGAATGTTTTCAAATTGTACAGCGGCGATCGGCTTGGTCATCATGTCTGCCAGCATATCTTGAGTCGGGCAATACTCCAAAACGACTTCACCTGATTCCACCTTCTCACGCACAAAATGGTAGCGTATGTCGATGTGTTTTGTTCTCTTATGGAACTCCGGGTTCTTGGCGAGAGCGATTGATCCTTGGTTGTCTTCATACATCTTGATCGCTTCGTCGCTTGTCATCTCACCAAGTTCCCCCAAAAGCACCTTGAGCCATACTGCTTCTTTGGTTGCTTCGGAAAGCGCCATGTATTCTGCTTCTGTTGAAGATAGCGCGACCGTCCGTTGTTTCTGGCTTTTCCAGCTGATGCATCCTCCGCTCATCATGAACACATAGCCGCTTGTACTTCGTCTTGACTCAATGTCGCCGGCCCAGTCTGCGTCGGTGTACCCGCAGATACGGCTTCCTTCTTGACGTGTAAACTCAAGACCATGATTGGGCGTTGCTTGCAGGTATCTCAGCACACGCTTCAAAGCTTGCCAGTGAGTCGGGCATGGGTCGGACGAGAACTGGGATAATGATCCCACTGCAGCAGCTAGATCCGGACGTGTGGCGACCATGAGATACATGATGCCTCCGACAGCACTTCGATATGGCACGTTGCACATGGTGTCTTCGTGCTTGCATTCTTGTTCACACATGTTCTTGGTTAGCTTCAGGCCGGGATCTTGAGGCGTCTTCACTGGCTTGCTGTTATCCATTCCGAACTTGGTTAACACGGACTTGAGAAACTTGGTTTGTTGCACAGTCACCATTCCCGTCTTACGGTCGTTCTTGATCTCCATGCCGAGAAAGTAATCGAGCTCACCGAGATCCGTCATTTCGAAGCGTTTGCTCAGCGCCATCTTGGTCGACTTGAGGAGTTCGTTGTTGCTGCTGGCCAGGATGAGATCATCGACGTAGAGCACCACGAGAATCATGTCTTGGTCGTCTCGCTTGATGTAGATGCAGTGGTCCGATTCGCACTTCTTGAATCCCATCTTGATCATGAACCCATCGATTGTTTGGTTCCACATGCGAGGCGATTGCTTCAAGCCGTAGAGTGATCTCTTTAGCTTGCACACATAGTCCGGCTGTGTTGCATCCAGGTATCCGTCCGGCTGGTCCATGTAGATGTCTTCGTTGAGGGAGCCGTTAAGAAACGCTGTCTTGACGTCCATCTGATGTAGCATTAGGCCGTACTTAGCCGCCATACTGAGCACCACACGAATCGATGTGAACTTGGCCACCGGTGCGAAAGTTTCTTCATAGTCAACTCCGAATTTCTGTGAGAATCCTTTGGCCACAAGTCTTGCCTTGAAACGTTCAACTTCGCCATCTTGATTCTCCTTTACACGAAAAACCCATCGGCACCCGATGGCCTTGCGACCTTTCGGAAGAGGCACGATTTCCCACGTGTCGTTTCTCTGAAGCGAGTCGAACTCCGAGTCACACGCTTCTTTCCACTTGCCGGAGTCGCTTGATTCCATCGCCGACTTGAATGTAGTCGGCGTTTCCCCCACTGAATCAACGATGTAGGCTGCTTCAAAATCCATTGCAGCCGCTGACACATGCTCAAGCGACGGACCTCTGTACGTTCTTCGCTTGGGACTTGGAATGACGGTAGCTTTCTCAAGTGATTGAGTGCGCGTGTGTCTCTTGATGTTGCTCTTCGAAGACCTGGTGTCTTCGTTGTCATCGTCGCTCGAGTCCATGTCGTCGTCAGTTTTACCTTCTTCTTTTTCTTCGTCCTCATCATGATCATCAAACTCAACGACACTTGACTCATCGTTGTAGTTGCGCGGACCTTCATCAAACTTGTCTTCCATGAATGTGGCATCGCGACTGATCTTGATCGCTCCTGTTGACACTTCCTCAAATCGATATGACTTCTGGTGTTCGGCGTATCCCAGGAAACGACAGAGTGATGACTTGGAGTCGAACTTCGCGCGTTTGTCTTGAGGCACTTGAACATACGCGTGGCATCCAAACACTTTAAGGTTGGCCAGAATCGGTTTCTTCATCGTCCACACTTGATATGGAGACTTGTCTTGGTGAATGGCACGTGTTGGACAGCGGTTTCGAAGAAACATCGCCGTCATCACTGCTTCACCCCAGTAGCTCTTTCCCAGTCCAGCGTGTTCCATCATGCAACGCGCACACTCGACCAGCGTGCGATTCATTCTCTCAGCTACTCCGTTTAGCTGAGGAGTATATGGGGGTGTGAACCTTTGTTGCATTCCCCGTTCCGCGCAGAATCGTGCCAGCTTGTCGGACTTGTATTCACCCCCATTGTCGCTTTGAAGGTACTTCACGCGCTTTCCGGTTTGCGTTTCGGCCATCGCAGCGTATTCCATGAACTTCGCCGCAACTTCAGATTTGCTCTTGAGCAGATAGACGACACAGTATCTTGACTTGTCATCAATGAATGTCACGAAGTACCGTTTTCCACTGAAAGTTGCCATCGACATCGGTCCGCATACGTCGCTGTGAATCACTTCGAGGAGTTTGGAGGTGCGAGCTGTAGTGTTTGATTGGAAGCGCACTCGAGTCTGTTTTCCCAGAGCACAACCTTCACACACGTCCCACTTCTTCACCGAAGATATGTCGATGCCAATTCCAATGTTCTTCGTCACGATGCAATTGAGTCCATCGTGACCTATGTGGCCAAGCCGAAGGTGCCAGAGGTACGACTTGGTGCCCCCTTGACATCCCGACGACTTGGCTGCATTTGCTTGTTCCGGCGCCACTGGAGTCATTTGCAGCTTGAACAGTCCTTTACCTTCACGGGCACCAATTTTCCACTTGGTCCCTTTCGCTTCTCCATAGCACCCATCCTTCGTGAACGTCACTGGGCCGACATCCTTGGTGAAGCGGCCGACCGAGAACAGGTTTCTGGATAACTTTGGGATGTGCCACACGTTTGTGAGCACACCTTTCTTCATCCCTTGGGGGTGTCTTCATCGACATGACAATGTCCCCACTGCCGATTGCTTGGACGATTCCATCATCCGCGAGATGGACATCCACAGCGTCAAACCCCTTGTAGTTCCGCATGAACTTCTTGGAGCACGTCATGTGCTGCGTCGCCCCGGAGTCGACCAGCCAGATGTCGCTCGATTTCGCAGATGTCGTTTCACCGATCGAAAAGAGGTAGTCGCCCGAGTCTTCTTCTTGAGCGACGTTTGCACGTTGTGATCGATAGCGGTCGCCGCTGTCTTGAGCACGCTGTGGCCGGTGTCTCTCCGTGTTTTCTTGGATGCGCGAGGGGCACTCCGCCATCCAGTGACCAATCTTTCCGCAATTGTGGCACGGCCAGGACTTCTTCACTGGTCGCCCTTTGCGCTGATTGTCCCTTGTGATGAACGCTTGACCTTGCGAAGCTTCATCACCTTTACTTCCTTGCTCCTTCCGCTTCATTTCTTCATGAAGCAGTCGAGACGTCACGAGCTCCCAGCTAAGAGTGTCTGAGCGCGACTCCAAAGCTGTGATCAAGAATTGATACGAGTCACTCAGGCTGCCGAGGAGTGTGATCACCAGATCGTCCTCGCAGACTGGAGCCCCCACCGCTTCTAGCTGTTCCGCCAGCGTCTTGAGCTTGTTGATGTGTTCGAGCACATCGTCGCCTTCTTCCATCATTGTCGTGAAGAAGCGACGGCGCAAGAACAGCTTGTTGGCAAGACTCTTCTTCTCGAAGTGGTCTTCCAACCTTGACCATGCGTCGCATGCACCACTTGCCGACCGGACCAACGGTAGCTGGGAATCTTCCATGGCTAGACAGATCACTGCCATCGCCTTTCTTGACTTCCTCTTGTACGTCGCTTGGTCCAACTGAGTCTCGCACTGTTCCGCCTTGATCTCACCGCTGACGACCTCCCATAGGTCCCGTTCCTCCAGCACCATCTGCATCTTGAACTTCCAGGCGTGGAAGTTAGTTCCATCGAACTTGGAGATGCGGAGGGAGGAGGCGTCCATGGCAGCTAAGCTTGAATTGTTGGCGGTTTCAGAGTCTGACGAACTTGGGCTCATAACCTGATGAACTTTAGACTTCTTGGTCCGAGTGCAAAACGCAAAGTAAATATATATTTATAATAGGTACTTAGTTCGCAACTTTGAATACTACCTCTAAGCCTATTATTCGCAGTGACGTCATCCAGTGACGTCACCCACTGACGTCACCCACTGACGTCATGCAATGACGTCATCCAGTGACGTCATTTCCTGACTTCGCCCTTACTGGTACATACCGGTACCCACCGGTATAGCGAAGCTTGGTCTTCCACTTGCTTCAACACTTGACGCAGCTTGACGAGGTGTCTTCTTCACAGCCGCTGTCTTTTCAACACAGTGTACTTGGTCCTGGCCAGACACTGCTTCTTCAAATGTCGACGGCTCCGAAAAATCGACCGCTGCTTCGACGGCGTTTGCACTCGCATGCCAAAACGCGGAGGAAGTCGGTGTGTCATGTTGTTCCTCCGACTTCCTTTCTTCATCTTCGTTGGCTCGACGTGAAGAGAGGTCATCCGGCGCACTTGACTCTTCCAATCCGGGTCGTTGGCGCACTGCTCGGGGCATGCTTGCGTCGTCATTGTCGTGACTGGGTTGGGCCTTGCGCTTTCCTGTTTGTTTGAAGTGTCTCGGACGCGGTTCTGTTGAAAAGACAGCGGCTGTGAAGAATGTTGAAAAGACAGCGGCTGTGAAGAAGACACCTCGTCAAGCTGCGTCAAGTGTTGAAGCAAGTGGAAGACCAAGCTTCGCTATACCGGTGGGTACCGGTATGTACCAGTAAGGGCGAAGTCAGGAAATGACGTCACTGGATGACGTCATTGCATGACGTCAGTGGGTGACGTCAGTGGGTGACGTCACTGGATGACGTCACTGCGAATAATAGGCTTAGAGGTAGTATTCAAAGTTGCGAACTAAGTACCTATTATAAATATATATTCACTTTGCGTTTTGCACTCGGACCAAGAAGTCTAAAGTTCATCAGGTTATGAGCCCAAGTTCGTCAGACTCTGAAACCGCCAACAATTCAAGCTTAGCTGCCATGGACGCCTCCTCCCTCCGCATCTCCAAGTTCGATGGAACTAACTTCCACGCCTGGAAGTTCAAGATGCAGATGGTGCTGGAGGAACGGGACCTATGGGAGGTCGTCAGCGGTGAGATCAAGGCGGAACAGTGCGAGACTCAGTTGGACCAAGCGACGTACAAGAGGAAGTCAAGAAAGGCGATGGCAGTGATCTGTCTAGCCATGGAAGATTCCCAGCTACCGTTGGTCCGGTCGGCAAGTGGTGCATGCGACGCATGGTCAAGGTTGGAAGACCACTTCGAGAAGAAGAGTCTTGCCAACAAGCTGTTCTTGCGCCGTCGCTTCTTCACGACAATGATGGAAGAAGGCGACGATGTGCTCGAACACATCAACAAGCTCAAGACGCTGGCGGAACAGCTAGAAGCGGTGGGGGCTCCAGTCTGCGAGGACGATCTGGTGATCACACTCCTCGGCAGCCTGAGTGACTCGTATCAATTCTTGATCACAGCTTTGGAGTCGCGCTCAGACACTCTTAGCTGGGAGCTCGTGACGTCTCGACTGCTTCATGAAGAAATGAAGCGGAAGGAGCAAGGAAGTAAAGGTGATGAAGCTTCGCAAGGTCAAGCGTTCATCACAAGGGACAATCAGCGCAAAGGGCGACCAGTGAAGAAGTCCTGGTCGTGCCACAATTGCGGAAAGATTGGTCACTGGATGGCGGAGTGCCCCTCGCGCATCCAAGAAAACACGGAGAGGCACCGGCCACAGCGTGCTCAAGACAGCGGCGACCGCTATCGATCACAACGTGCAAACGTCGCTCAAGAAGAAGACTCGGGCGACTACCTCTTTTCGATCGGTGAAACGACATCTGCGAAATCGAGCGACATCTGGCTGGTCGACTCCGGGGAGACGCAGCACATGACGTGCTCCAAGAAGTTCATGCGGAACTACAAGGGGTTTGACGCTGTGGATGTCCATCTCGCGGATGATGGAATCGTCCAAGCAATCGGCAGTGGGGACATTGTCATGTCGATGAAGACACCCCAAGGGATGAAGAAAGGTGTGCTCACAAACGTGTGGCACATCCCAAAGTTATCCAGAAACCTGTTCTCGGTCGGCCGCTTCACCAAGGATGTCGGCCCAGTGACGTTCACGAAGGATGGGTGCTATGGAGAAGCGAAAGGGACCAAGTGGAAAATTGGTGCCCGTGAAGGTAAAGGACTGTTCAAGCTGCAAATGACTCCAGTGGCGCCGGAACAAGCAAATGCAGCCAAGTCGTCGGGATGTCAAGGGGGCACCAAGTCGTACCTCTGGCACCTTCGGCTTGTGCCACATAGGTCACGATGGACTCAATTGCATCGTGACGAAGAACATTGGAATTGGCATCGACATATCTTCGGTGAAGAAGTGGGACGTGTGTGAAGGTTGTGCTCTGGGAAAACAGACTCGAGTGCGCTTCCAATCAAACACTACAGCTCGCACCTCCAAACTCCTCGAAGTGATTCACAGCGACGTATGCGGACCGATGTCGATGGCAACTTTCAGTGGAAAACGGTACTTCGTGACATTCATTGATGACAAGTCAAGATACTGTGTCGTCTATCTGCTCAAGAGCAAATCTGAAGTTGCGGCGAAGTTCATGGAATACGCTGCGATGGCCGAAACGCAAACCGGAAAGCGCGTGAAGTACCTTCAAAGCGACAATGGGGGTGAATACAAGTCCGACAAGCTGGCACGATTCTGCGCGGAACGGGGAATACAACAAAGGTTCACACCCCCATATACTCCTCAGCTAAACGGAGTAGCTGAGAGAATGAATCTCACGCTGGTCGAGTGTGCGCGTTGCATGATGGAACACGCTGGACTGGGAAAGAGCTACTGGGGTGAAGCAGTGATGACGGCGATGTTTCTTCGAAACCGCTGTCCAACACGTGCCATTCACCAAGACAAGTCTCCATATCAAGTGTGGACGATGAAGAAACCGATTCTGGCCAACCTTAAAGTGTTTGGATGCCACGCGTATGTTCAAGTGCCTCAAGACAAACGCGCGAAGTTCGACTCCAAGTCATCACTCTGTCGTTTCCTGGGATACGCCGAACACCAGAAGTCATATCGATTTGAGGAAGTGTCAACAGGAGCGATCAAGATCAGTCGCGATGCCACATTCATGGAAGACAAGTTTGATGAAGGTCCGCGCAACTACAACGATGAGTCAAGTGTCGTTGAGTTTGATGATCATGATGAGGACGAAGAAAAAGAAGAAGGTAAAACTGACGACGACATGGACTCGAGCGACGATGACAACGAAGACACCAGGTCTTCGAAGAGCAACATCAAGAGACACACGCGCACTCAATCACTTGAGAAAGCTACCGTCATTCCAAGTCCCAAGCGAAGAACATACAGAGGTCCGTCGCTTGAGCATGTGTCAGCGGCTGCAATGGATTTTGAAGCAGCCTACATCGTTGATTCAGTGGGGGAAACGCCGACTACATTCAAGTCGGCGATGGAATCAAGCGACTCCGGCAAGTGGAAAGAAGCGTGTGACTCGGAGTTCGATTCGCTTCAGAGAAACGACACGTGGGAAATCGTGCCTCTTCCGAAAGGTCGCAAGGCCATCGGGTGCCGATGGGTTTTTCGTGTAAAAGAGAATCAAGATGGCGAAGTTGAACGTTTCAAGGCAAGACTTGTGGCCAAAGGATTCTCACAGAAATTCGGAGTTGACTATGAAGAAACTTTCGCACCGGTGGCCAAGTTCACATCGATTCGTGTGGTGCTCAGTATGGCGGCTAAGTACGGCCTAATGCTATATCAGATGGACGTCAAGACAGCGTTTCTTAACGGCTCCCTCAACGAAGACATCTACATGGACCAGCCGGACGGATACCTGGATGCAACACAGCCGGACTATGTGTGCAAGCTAAAGAGATCACTCTACGGCTTGAAGCAATCGCCTCGCATGTGGAACCAAACAATCGATGGGTTCATGATCAAGATGGGATTCAAGAAGTGCGAATCGGACCACTGCATCTACATCAAGCGAGACGACCAAGACATGATTCTCGTGGTGCTCTACGTCGATGATCTCATCCTGGCCAGCAGCAACAACGAACTCCTCAAGTCAACCAAGATGGCGCTGAGCAAACGCTTCGAAATGACGGATCTCGGTGAGCTCGATTACTTTCTCGGCATGGAGATCAAGAACGACCGTAAGACGGGAATGGTGACTGTACAACAAACCAAGTTTCTCAAGTCCGTGTTAACCAAGTTCGGAATGGATAACAGCAAGCCAGTGAAGACGCCTCAAGATCCCGGCCTGAAGCTAACCAAGAACATGTGTGAACAAGAATGCAAGCACGAAGACACCATGTGCAACGTGCCATATCGAAGTGCTGTCGGAGGCATCATGTATCTCATGGTCGCCACACGTCCGGATCTAGCTGCTGCAGTGGGATCATTATCCCAGTTCTCGTCCGACCCATGCCCGACTCACTGGCAAGCTTTGAAGCGTGTGCTGAGATACCTGCAAGCAACGCCCAATCATGGTCTTGAGTTTACACGTGAAGAAGGAAGCCGTATCTGCGGGTACACCGACGCAGACTGGGCCGGCGACATTGAGTCAAGACGAAGTACAAGCGGCTATGTGTTCATGATGAGCGGAGGATGCATCAGCTGGAAAAGCCAGAAACAACGGACGGTCGCGCTATCTTCAACAGAAGCAGAATACATGGCGCTTTCCGAAGCAACCAAAGAAGCAGTATGGCTCAAAGTGCTTTTGGGGGAACTTGGTGAGATGACAAGCGACGAAGCGATCAAGATGTATGAAGACAACCAAGGATCAATCGCTCTCGCCAAGAACCCGGAGTTCCATAAGAGAACAAAACACATCGACATACGCTACCATTTTGTGCGTGAGAAGGTGGAATCAGGTGAAGTCGTTTTGGAGTATTGCCCGACTCAAGATATGCTGGCAGACATGATGACCAAGCCGATCGCCGCTGTACAATTTGAAAACATTCGCGATCGACTTGGGATCCAAGGTGCCGCAGCTAACGAGTCGAGAGGGAGTGTTGAAAAGACAGCGGCTGTGAAGAATGTTGAAAAGACAGCGGCTGTGAAGAAGACACCTCGTCAAGCTGCGTCAAGTGTTGAAGCAAGTGGAAGACCAAGCTTCGCTATACCGGTGGGTACCGGTATGTACCAGTAAGGGCGAAGTCAGGAAATGACGTCACTGGATGACGTCATTGCATGACGTCAGTGGGTGACGTCAGTGGGTGACGTCACTGGATGACGTCACTGCGAATAATAGGCTTAGAGGTAGTATTCAAAGTTGCGAACTAAGTACCTATTATAAATATATATTTACTTTGCGTTTTGCACTCGGACCAAGAAGTCTAAAGTTCATCAGGTTCTTCATCATCAAGATCGATCGATTCGAAGTCCAGGCCATCAACATCGTCATCGGAAATCAGCATCGACATTCCAAAGGCCGACTCATCGAAGTTGACATCGCGACTTATCATCACCTGCCCCGCTTCGATGTCATAAACTCGATACGCCTTGGACACTTCTTCGTAGCCCAAAAACAATCCAGCCCGGGCCTTGGGATCCCACTTGAGTCGTTTCTCCTTCGGGGTCAAGATGTATGCTTGGCACCCAAAAACGCGCATGTGCTTGACACTTGGCTTAGAATTGTAGACAATCTCGAACGGTGTCTTGTGTGGAATCTTGGGTGACGGCAAACGGTTCTTCACATAGACGGCCGTCATTGCCGCTTCACCCCAGAAACACTTGTTCAGCTTGGCATGATGTAGCATGCTACGACCAATCGTGACAATCGTCCGAATCGCGCGTTCAGCAGTTCCATTGGCTTGATGTGCGTATGGCACCGTGGTTTGTTGCTCGATGCCTTCGACTTCGTAGAAATCTTGAAGCGAGTTCGTCGCAAACTCGCGGGCTCCATCGTGTCGCACAAATTTGACCTTCTTGTTGAACTGCGTCTGTATCATCGTGATGTACTTCTTGATGCACTCTTCGCTCTCTGACTTGGAATGCAGACAAAAACCCTTCATGCATCCGCTGGCTTCATCCACGATCAGCAGCAGATACTTGCTGCCACCCAGAGATTTTTCTTCCATGGGTCCGCAGATGTCGAAGTGGAGCATCTCGAAGGTGTTGTAGGTGCGCTTGTCACGGTTGCTCGGGAATGGTTTTTGGACCATCTTCCCTTCTTGGCATCCTCGACACACACTTGTGTTGAAAAGACAGCAGCTGTGAAGAAGACACCTCGTCAAGCTGCGTCAAGTGTTGAAGCAAGTGGAAGACCAAGCTTCGCTATACCGGTGGGTACCGGTATGTACCAGTAAGGGCGAAGTCAGGAAATGACGTCACTGGATGACGCCATTGCATGACGTCAGTGGGTGACGTCAGTGGGTGACGTCACTGGATGACGTCACTGCGAATAATAGGCTTAGAGGTAGTATTCAAAGTTGCGAACTAAGTACCTATTATAAATATATATTTACTTTGCGTTTTGCACTCGGACCAAGAAGTCTAAAGTTCATCAGGTTATGAGCCCAAGTTCGTCAGACTCTGAAACCGCCAACAATTCAAGCTTAGCTGCCATGGACGCCTCCTCCCTCCGCATCTCCAAGTTCGATGGAACTAACTTCCACGCCTGGAAGTTCAAGATGCAGATGGTGCTGGAGGAACGGGACCTATGGGAGGTCGTCAGCGGTGAGATCAAGGCGGAACAGTGCGAGACTCAGTTGGACCAAGCGACGTACAAGAGGAAGTCAAGAAAGGCGATGGCAGTGATCTGTCTAGCCATGGAAGATTCCCAGCTACCGTTGGTCCGGTCGGCAAGTGGTGCATGCGACGCATGGTCAAGGTTGGAAGACCACTTCGAGAAGAAGAGTCTTGCCAACAAGCTGTTCTTGCGCCGTCGCTTCTTCACGACAATGATGGAAGAAGGCGACGATGTGCTCGAACACATCAACAAGCTCAAGACGCTGGCGGAACAGCTAGAAGCGGTGGGGGCTCCAGTCTGCGAGGACGATCTGGTGATCACACTCCTCGGCAGCCTGAGTGACTCGTATCAATTCTTGATCACAGCTTTGGAGTCGCGCTCAGACACTCTTAGCTGGGAGCTCGTGACGTCTCGACTGCTTCATGAAGAAATGAAGCGGAAGGAGCAAGGAAGTAAAGGTGATGAAGCTTCGCAAGGTCAAGCGTTCATCACAAGGGACAATCAGCGCAAAGGGCGACCAGTGAAGAAGTCCTGGCCGTGCCACAATTGCGGAAAGATTGGTCACTGGATGGCGGAGTGCCCCTCGCGCATCCAAGAAAACACGGAGAGACACCGGCCACAGCGTGCTCAAGACAGCGGCGACCGCTATCGATCACAACGTGCAAACGTCGCTCAAGAAGAAGACTCGGGCGACTACCTCTTTTCGATCGGTGAAACGACATCTGCGAAATCGAGCGACATCTGGCTGGTCGACTCCGGGGCGACGCAGCACATGACGTGCTCCAAGAAGTTCATGCGGAACTACAAGGGGTTTGACGCTGTGGATGTCCATCTCGCGGATGATGGAATCGTCCAAGCAATCGGCAGTGGGGACATTGTCATGTCGATGAAGACACCCCAAGGGATGAAGAAAAGTGTGCTCACAAACGTGTGGCACATCCCAAAGTTATCCAGAAACCTGTTCTCGGTCGGCCGCTTCACCAAGGATGTCGGCCCAGTGACGTTCACGAAGGATGGGTGCTATGGAGAAGCGAAAGGGACCAAGTGGAAAATTGGTGCCCGTGAAGGTAAAGGACTGTTCAAGCTGCAAATGACTCCAGTGGCGCCGGAACAAGCAAATGCAGCCAAGTCGTCGGGATGTCAAGGGGGCACCAAGTCGTACCTCTGGCACCTTCGGCTTGGCCACATAGGTCACGATGGACTCAATTGCATCGTGACGAAGAACATTGGAATTGGCATCGACATATCTTCGGTGAAGAAGTGGGACGTGTGTGAAGGTTGTGCTCTGGGAAAACAGACTCGAGTGCGCTTCCAATCAAACACTACAGCTCGCACCTCCAAACTCCTCGAAGTGATTCACAGCGACGTATGCGGACCAATGTCGATGGCAACTTTCAGTGGAAAACAGTACTTCGTGACATTCATTGATGACAAGTCAAGATACTGTTGTTGAAAAGACAGCGGCTGTGAAGAAGACACCTCGTCAAGCTGCGTCAAGTGTTGAAGCAAGTGGAAGACCAAGCTTCGCTATACCGGTGGGTACCGGTATGTACCAGTAAGGGCGAAGTCAGGAAATGACGTCAGTGGGTGACGTCAGTGGGTGACGTCACTGGATGACGTCACTGCGAATAATAGGCTTAGAGGTAGTATTCAAAGTTGCGAACTAAGTACCTATTATAAATATATATTCACTTTGCGTTTTGCACTCGGACCAAGAAGTCTAAAGTTCATCAGGTTATGAGCCCAAGTTCGTCAGACTCTGAAACCGCCAACAATTCAAGCTTAGCTGCCATGGACGCCTCCTCCCTCCGCATCTCCAAGTTCGATGGAACTAACTTCCACGCCTGGAAGTTCAAGATGCAGATGGTGCTGGAGGAACGGGACCTATGGGAGGTCGTCAGCGGTGAGATCAAGGCGGAACAGTGCGAGACTCAGTTGGACCAAGCGACGTACAAGAGGAAGTCAAGAAAGGCGATGGCAGTGATCTGTCTAGCCATGGAAGATTCCCAGCTACCGTTGGTCCGGTCGGCAAGTGGTGCATGCGACGCATGGTCAAGGTTGGAAGACCACTTCGAGAAGAAGAGTCTTGCCAACAAGCTGTTCTTGCGCCGTCGCTTCTTCACGACAATGATGGAAGAAGGCGACGATGTGCTCGAACACATCAACAAGCTCAAGACGCTGGCGGAACAGCTAGAAGCGGTGGGGGCTCCAGTCTGCGAGGACGATCTGGTGATCACACTCCTCGGCAGCCTGAGTGACTCGTATCAATTCTTGATCACAGCTTTGGAGTCGCGCTCAGACACTCTTAGCTGGGAGCTCGTGACGTCTCGACTGCTTCATGAAGAAATGAAGCGGAAGGAGCAAGGAAGTAAAGGTGATGAAGCTTCGCAAGGTCAAGCGTTCATCACAAGGGACAATCAGCGCAAAGGGCGACCAGTGAAGAAGTCCTGGCCGTGCCACAATTGCGGAAAGATTGGTCACTGGATGGCGGAGTGCCCCTCGCGCATCCAAGAAAACACGGAGAGACACCGGCCACAGCGTGCTCAAGACAGCGGCGACCGCTATCGATCACAACGTGCAAACGTCGCTCAAGAAGAAGACTCGGGCGACTACCTCTTTTCGATCGGTGAAACGACATCTGCGAAATCGAGCGACATCTGGCTGGTCGACTCAGGGGCGACGCAGCACATGACGTGCTCCAAGAAGTTCATGCGGAACTACAAGGGGTTTGACGCTGTGGATGTCCATCTCGCGGATGATGGAATCGTCCAAGCAATCGGCAGTGGGGACATTGTCATGTCGATGAAGACACCCCAAGGGATGAAGAAAGGTGTGCTCACAAACGTGTGGCACATCCCAAAGTTATCCAGAAACCTGTTCTCGGTCGGCCGCTTCACCAAGGATGTCGGCCCAGTGACGTTCACGAAGGATGGGTGCTATGGAGAAGCGAAAGGGACCAAGTGGAAAATTGGTGCCCGTGAAGGTAAAGGACTGTTCAAGCTGCAAATGACTCCAGTGGCGCCGGAACAAGCAAATGCAGCCAAGTCGTCGGGATGTCAAGGGGGCACCAAGTCGTACCTCTGGCACCTTCGGCTTGGCCACATAGGTCACGATGGACTCAATTGCATCGTGACGAAGAACATTGGAATTGGCATCGACATATCTTCGGTGAAGAAGTGGGACGTGTGTGAAGGTTGTGCTCTGGGAAAACAGACTCGAGTGCGCTTCCAATCAAACACTACAGCTCGCACCTCCAAACTCCTCGAAGTGATTCACAGCGACGTATGCGGACCGATGTCGATGGCAACTTTCATTGGAAAACGGTACTTCGTGACATTCATTGATGACAAGTCAAGATACTGTGTCGTCTATCTGCTCAAGAGCAAATCTGAAGTTGCGGCGAAGTTCATGGAATACGCTGCGATGGCCGAAACGCAAACCGGAAAGCGCGTGAAGTACCTTCAAAGCGACAATGGGGGTGAATACAAGTCCGACAAGCTGGCACGATTCTGCGCGGAACGGGGAATACAACAAAGGTTCACACCCCCATATACTCCTCAGCTAAACGGAGTAGCTGAGAGAATGAATCGCACGCTGGTCGAGTGTGCGCGTTGCATGATGGAACACGCTGGACTGGGAAAGAGCTACTGGGGTGAAGCAGTGATGACGGCGATGTTTCTTCGAAACCGCTGTCCAACACGTGCCATTCACCAAGACAAGTCTCCATATCAAGTGTGGACGATGAAGAAACCGATTCTGGCCAACCTTAAAGTGTTTGGATGCCACGCGTATGTTCAAGTGCCTCAAGACAAACACGCGAAGTTCGACTCCAAGTCATCACTCTGTCGTTTCCTGGGATACGCCGAACACCAGAAGTCATATCGATTTGAGGAAGTGTCAACAGGAGCGATCAAGATCAGTCGCGATGCCACATTCATGGAAGACAAGTTTGATGAAGGTCCGCGCAACTACAACGATGAGTCAAGTGTCGTTGTGATGAACTTTAGACTTCTTGGTCCGAGTGCAAAACGCAAAGTGAATATATATTTATAATAGGTACTTAGTTCGCAACTTTGAATACTACCTCTAAGCCTATTATTCGCAGTGACGTCATCCAGTGACGTCACCCACTGACGTCACCCACTGACGTCATGCAATGACGTCATCCAGTGACGTCATTTCCTGACTTCGCCCTTACTGGTACATACCGGTACCCACCGGTATAGCGAAGCTTGGTCTTCCACTTGCTTCAACACTTGACGCAGCTTGACGAGGTGTCTTCTTCACAGCCGCTGTCTTTTCAACACTCCCTCTCGACTCGTTAGCTGCGGCACGCTTGGATCCCAAGTCGATCGCGAATGTTTTCAAATTGTACAGCGGCGATCGGCTTGGTCATCATGTCTGCCAGCATATCTTGAGTCGGGCAATACTCCAAAACGACTTCACCTGATTCCACCTTCTCACGCACAAAATGGTAGCGTATGTCGATGTGTTTTGTTCTCTTATGGAACTCCGGGTTCTTGGCGAGAGCGATTGATCCTTGGTTGTCTTCATACATCTTGATCGCTTCGTCGCTTGTCATCTCACCAAGTTCCCCCAAAAGCACTTTGAGCCATACTGCTTCTTTGGTTGCTTCGGAAAGCGCCATGTATTCTGCTTCTGTTGAAGATAGCGCGACCGTCCGTTGTTTCTGGCTTTTCCAGCTGATGCATCCTCCGCTCATCATGAACACATAGCCGCTTGTACTTCGTCTTGACTCAATGTCGCCGGCCCAGTCTTGTTGAAAAGACAGCGGCTGTGAAGAAGACACCTCGTCAAGCTGCGTCAAGTGTTGAAGCAAGTGGAAGACCAAGCTTCGCTATACCGGTGGGTACCGGTATGTACCAGTAAGGGCGAAGTCAGGAAATGACGTCACTGGATGACGTCATTGCATGACGTCAGTGGGTGACGTCAGTGGGTGACGTCACTGGATGACGTCACTGCGAATAATAGGCTTAGAGGTAGTATTCAAAGTTGCGAACTAAGTACCTATTATAAATATATATTCACTTTGCGTTTTGCACTCGGACCAAGAAGTCTAAAGTTCATCAGGTTATGAGCCCAAGTTCGTCAGACTCTGAAACCGCCAACAATTCAAGCTTAGCTGCCATGGACGCCTCCTCCCTCCGCATCTCCAAGTTCGATGGAACTAACTTCCACGCCTGGAAGTTCAAGATGCAGATGGTGCTGGAGGAACGGGACCTATGGGAGGTCGTCAGCGGTGAGATCAAGGCGGAACAGTGCGAGACTCAGTTGGACCAAGCGACGTACAAGAGGAAGTCAAGAAAGGCGATGGCAGTGATCTGTCTAGCCATGGAAGATTCCCAGCTACCGTTGGTCCGGTCGGCAAGTGGTGCATGCGACGCATGGTCAAGGTTGGAAGACCACTTCGAGAAGAAGAGTCTTGCCAACAAGCTGTTCTTGCGCCGTCGCTTCTTCACGACAATGATGGAAGAAGGCGACGATGTGCTCGAACACATCAACAAGCTCAAGACGCTGGCGGAACAGCTAGAAGCGGTGGGGGCTCCAGTCTGCGAGGACGATCTGGTGATCACACTCCTCGGCAGCCTGAGTGACTCGTATCAATTCTTGATCACAGCTTTGGAGTCGCGCTCAGACACTCTTAGCTGGGAGCTCGTGACGTCTCGACTGCTTCATGAAGAAATGAAGCGGAAGGAGCAAGGAAGTAAAGGTGATGAAGCTTCGCAAGGTCAAGCGTTCATCACAAGGGGACAATCAGCGCAAAGGGCGACCAGTGAAGAAGTCCTGGCCGTGCCACAATTGCGGAAAGATTGGTCACTGGATGGCGGAGTGCCCCTCGCGCATCCAAGAAAACACGGAGAGACACCGGCCACAGCGTGCTCAAGACAGCGGCGACCGCTATCGATCACAACGTGCAAACGTCGCTCAAGAAGAAGACTCGGGCGACTACCTCTTTTCGATCGGTGAAACGACATCTGCGAAATCGAGGCGACATCTGGCTGGTCGACTCCGGGGCGACGCAGCACATGACGTGCTCCAAGAAGTTCATGCGGAACTACAAGGGGTTTGACGCTGTGGATGTCCATCTCGCGGATGATGGAATCGTCCAAGCAATCGGCAGTGGGGACATTGTCATGTCGATGAAGACACCCCCAAGGGATGAAGAAAGGTGTGCTCACAAACGTGTGGCACATCCCAAAGTTATCCAGAAACCTGTTCTCGGTCGGCCGCTTCACCAAGGATGTCGGCCCAGTGACGTTCACGAAGGATGGGTGCTATGGAGAAGCGAAAGGGACCAAGTGGAAAATTGGTGCCCGTGAAGGTAAAGGACTGTTCAAGCTGCAAATGACTCCAGTGGCGCCGGAACAAGCAAATGCAGCCAAGTCGTCGGGATGTCAAGGGGGCACCAAGTCGTACCTCTGGCACCTTCGGCTTGGCCACATAGGTCATGATGGACTCAATTGCATCGTGACGAAGAACATTGGAATTGGCATCGACATATCTTCGGTGAAGAAGTGGGACGTGTGTGAAGGTTGTGCTCTGGGAAAACAGACTCGAGTGCGCTTCCAATCAAACACTACAGCTCGCACCTCCAAACTCCTCGAAGTGATTCACAGCGACGTATGCGGACCGATGTCGATGGCAACTTTCAGTGGAAAACGGTACTTCGTGACATTCATCGATGACAAGTCAAGATACTGTGTCGTCTATCTGCTCAAGAGCAAATCTGAAGTTGCGGCGAAGTTCATGGAATACGCTGCGATGGCCGAAACGCAAACCGGAAAGCGCGTGAAGTACCTTCAAAGCGACAATGGGGGTGAATACAAGTCCGACAAGCTGGCACGATTCTGCGCGGAACGGGGAATACAACAAAGGTTCACACCCCCATATACTCCTCAGCTAAACGGAGTAGCTGAGAGAATGAATCGCACGCTGGTCGAGTGTGCGCGTTGCATGATGGAACACGCTGGACTGGGAAAGAGCTACTGGGGTGAAGCAGTGATGACGGCGATGTTTCTTCGAAACCGCTGTCCAACACGTGCCATTCACCAAGACAAGTCTCCATATCAAGTGTGGACGATGAAGAAACCGATTCTGGCCAACCTTAAAGTGTTTGGATGCCACGCGTATGTTCAAGTGCCTCAAGACAAACGCGCGAAGTTCGACTCCAAGTCATCACTCTGTCGTTTCCTGGGATACGCCGAACACCAGAAGTCATATCGATTTGAGGAAGTGTCAACAGGAGCGATCAAGATCAGTCGCGATGCCACATTCATGGAAGACAAGTTTGATGAAGGTCCGCGCAACTACAACGATGAGTCAAGTGTCGTTGAGTTTGATGATCATGATGAGGACGAAGAAAAAGAAGAAGGTAAAACTGACGACGACATGGACTCGAGCGACGATGACAACGAAGACACCAGGTCTTCGAAGAGCAACATCAAGAGACACACGCGCACTCAATCACTTGAGAAAGCTACCGTCATTCCAAGTCCCAAGCGAAGAACATACAGAGGTCCGTCGCTTGAGCATGTGTCAGCGGCTGCAATGGATTTTGAAGCAGCCTACATCGTTGATTCAGTGGGGAAACGCCGACTACATTCAAGTCGGCGATGGAATCAAGCGACTCCGGCAAGTGGAAAGAAGCGTGTGACTCGGAGTTCGATTCGCTTCAGAGAAACGACACGTGGGAAATCGTGCCTCTTCCGAAAGGTCGCAAGGCCATCGGGTGCCGATGGGTTTTTCGTGTAAAGGAGAATCAAGATGGCGAAGTTGAACGTTTCAAGGCAAGACTTGTGGCCAAAGGATTCTCACAGAAATTCGGAGTTGACTATGAAGAAACTTTCGCACCGGTGGCCAAGTTCACATCGATTCGTGTGGTGCTCAGTATGGCGGCTAAGTACGGCCTAATGCTACATCAGATGGACGTCAAGACAGCGTTTCTTAACGGCTCCCTCAACGAAGACATCTACATGGACCAGCCGGACGGATACCTGGATGCAACACAGCCGGACTATGTGTGCAAGCTAAAGAGATCACTCTACGGCTTGAAGCAATCGCCTCGCATGTGGAACCAAACAATCGATGGGTTCATGATCAAGATGGGATTCAAGAAGTGCGAATCGGACCACTGCATCTACATCAAGCGAGACGACCAAGACATGATTCTCGTGGTGCTCTACGTCGATGATCTCATCCTGGCCAGCAGCAACAACGAACTCCTCAAGTCAACCAAGATGGCGCTGAGCAAACGCTTCGAAATGACGGATCTCGGTGAGCTCGATTACTTTCTCGGCATGGAGATCAAGAACGACCGTAAGACGGGAATGGTGACTGTACAACAAACCAAGTTTCTCAAGTCCGTGTTAACCAAGTTCGGAATGGATAACAGCAAGCCAGTGAAGACGCCTCAAGATCCCGGCCTGAAGCTAACCAAGAACATGTGTGAACAAGAATGCAAGCACGAAGACACCATGTGCAACGTGCCATATCGAAGTGCTGTCGGAGGCATCATGTATCTCATGGTCGCCACACGTCCGGATCTAGCTGCTGCAGTGGGATCATTATCCCAGTTCTCGTCCGACCCATGCCCGACTCACTGGCAAGCTTTGAAGCGTGTGCTGAGATACCTGCAAGCAACGCCCAATCATGGTCTTGAGTTTACACGTGAAGAAGGAAGCCGTATCTGCGGGTACACCGACGCAGACTGGGCCGGCGACATTGAGTCAAGACGAAGTACAAGCGGCTATGTGTTCATGATGAGCGGAGGATGCATCAGCTGGAAAAGCCAGAAACAACGGACGGTCGCGCTATCTTCAACAGAAGCAGAATACATGGCGCTTTCCGAAGCAACCAAAGAAGCAGTATGGCTCAAAGTGCTTTTGGGGGAACTTGGTGAGATGACAAGCGACGAAGCGATCAAGATGTATGAAGACAACCAAGGATCAATCGCTCTCGCCAAGAACCCGGAGTTCCATAAGAGAACAAAACACATCGACATACGCTACCATTTTGTGCGTGAGAAGGTGGAATCAGGTGAAGTCGTTTTGGAGTATTGCCCGACTCAAGATATGCTGGCAGACATGATGACCAAGCCGATCGCCGCTGTACAATTTGAAAACATTCGCGATCGACTTGGGATCCAAGGTGCCGCAGCTAACGAGTCGAGAGGGAGTGTTGAAAAGACAGCGGCTGTGAAGAAGACACCTCGTCAAGCTGCGTCAAGTGTTGAAGCAAGTGGAAGACCAAGCTTCGCTATACCGGTGGGTACCGGTATGTACCAGTAAGGGCGAAGTCAGGAAATGACGTCACTGGATGACGTCATTGCATGACGTCAGTGGGTGACGTCAGTGGGTGACGTCACTGGATGACGTCACTGCAAATAATAGGCTTAGAGGTAGTATTCAAAGTTGCGAACTAAGTACCTATTATAAATATATATTCACTTTGCGTTTTGCACTCGGACCAAGAAGTCTAAAGTTCATCAAGTCTGCGTCGGTGTACCCGCAGATACGGCTTCCTTCTTCACGTGTAAACTCAAGACCATGATTGGGAGTTGCTTGCAGGTATCTCAGCACACGCTTCAAAGCTTGCCAGTGAGTCGGGCATGGGTCGGACGAGAACTGG